TCTCTTTCTTCTTCTTCTTCTTCTTCTTCTTCATCTTCTCCTACTTCTTCTTCTTCTTTCTTCTTCTTCTTTATTATAATTATTTAATATTATTATTATATCCTAACCACATACCCAAAACATTGCTGGGACATATAAATACAGTGGTCCCTCAATTATCGTCCTTAATCCGTTCCTGGAAGTGGGACTGTTATCGAAATGACGACTTTCCGAAATCAATTTTCCCCATAAGAAATAAAGTAAATGCAATTTAATTATCCCGTTCCTACAACCCAGAATATTAAAAACAAAAATTTTTTTTACATGAAATATAATTTATTACATAAAACAATACAGTGGCAATGATGAATTAAACATTAACAGAATAACACTTACCTTTATTGGCGATTCTTCTTTGTGTATGGAAGACTGGAGAAGGAGACAGATTTGGATTATTTACTGTCTGGAGGGGAATCCCCTTCCATAACACCTCGAACGCAATTGCTTTTCTGGGGTTACTTCTCTTCACCAGCATCTTAAAGCCACTAGGACCACCTTGAGAGTCACTGGGAGTCCTGTCTCACAAAAAAACTGTCCGAGAGCTCTGTTTCTGGCTCTCTTTAAAACTTCCCTCTAATGGCCAAGACCCTGTCAAGAAAAAATTAAACCCTCTCTAATATAATAATAAAAGGTAAAAGGAACCCCAATGGGAAATAAGTCACTCTGTCCTGACTTTTTGGTTATCCTAGGTTCTCGAACACATATGCTGCTATGTATGTTAATTCTATGTAACTGTATTTGAGTATACCTGAATAACTTATTACTTACCCACATTCAAAAACCTCCTTATTTCTGAAGAAGGCACCTTCTTCCATCCTCTTCTTCCTCCTCTGCACAAGATTCTGAACTGCGATCTGTTTGCTCTTTTCCTGCCTGAAGCTCTAGCAGCTCCACATGGTTTAGCTCTTCGTTTGATCCTCCACCAACGCTTCCTCATCCACCAAACACCCCTCCAAAACTCACATACAACACCATGGAAACTCCCCAGTGCGACAATAGAGTTTCACAACTGACATAGGCTCATCCAGGGGCTGGCCTCAAACCCTTCTCAAAATCCCTCTATGTGACACACCAGGCCACATTTACTCCCAGCAGAGTTCAAAGTCCTGGTAGTCACTTCCTCCCACGCTTTACCCTATAAGGCTTATTGGCAATGGAGAATACTGAGAAGTGTTTCTTTCCATAAAATCTTGTAGGGTACAAGTGAGTGCTGAGGCACATTCAAGCACCTTTCAAAAACATTGCTTTTGGTGTAGAGTTTTTTTTAAAGTTTGAAATGATTGCTGGTCCATGGGGGCTGTGAGGAGATGAGTGGTATCGGGGCAAGAAACTTACTGTATGAACCCCAAACTATCTTCAGAATTAGGTCAACCAAGTTTGGGAGATGAGCAGGTTCATTGTCCATTACTATGAGCACTTGAGTCCAATTATCATTTCCAGGAGGTTAATTCTTCACATTAGGGGGCCAAACACATTCATTGAACCCACTCTCACCGAAAAGTCCCTCGTCACCCATGCCTTTACAATTAGATCACCAAAAAAAACACACAACAATTCAACTCTTCTAACATTGTTTTTTCTTGAACACTCTGGATTTTTCCAGAATGATACACTTAGTATCAGCTTTCAAATTTTGAAATCCCCTCTAGCATTAGGCACAGAACATTAGCATCAGCCTGTTCTTTTCATAGGCTTGTGTCCTGGCAAAGTGCCTTTTTCTTCCTGAGTAATGTAGGTCCTCTTTGGCATTTTCTTCCAAAAGAGGTCAGTTTTCATCACAATTGAACACATGTTCAGGTTCAGTCCTTCACTGTTTATGTACTCCTGGCAGTCATGCACATAATTTTTCATGCCGCTTTTTGTTTTCAGAACTGGCCAGCCTCACCATGCCTTACCCAAGCATGTGTAAATGCCAGTAACCTTCTTAAATCTCTCAAACCATCCCTTTGCTGGCCTTAAATTCACTCACAACACCCTAGTTGCAGGCAGTTTTCTTTACCAATTAGTTCAATGCAAACTGCCAGCCTTTCACAAGTAAGCGACGTCATAAACTACTCTTGCTAATTGTTTCTCGTTTATCCACGCCAATAATAACTTCTCAACATCTTCGAGACTGGTGACCTCATTTTTGTCAGCATATTTACCCCTTTGACCAACAACAGCATCCTTGATTTCCTATTTTCTTGGGCTATGATGGAAGATTATGGTGTACAGGGATTTGTTATACATCCTGGCCATTCGGCCACACGTACGCACACTATGCATATTGTTCAATGTGATGGTTTTTCTTAAATTCAATTGGTTTTCTTCACCTTCTTTTTTAACCAAAGGCTTTGGCATTGAGGAGCTTTCTTTGGAGCCATGGTAGCTTATTTATCACCTGCAAGCACTAAAATCAATGGAATATTATGAAATATTTTGTTGGAGCAAGTGAGGGGACCGTCGCTCACTGGTAAACAATGGTGCACTGGCTGGGAAGAGAGGCCGAGGCGGCTCAGAGTGTGAGTACGCATCCCGGACAAAGGACTATTAGCGAGTTACTGGACCATTTGCAAGCCAATGTTTAGACGAAATAACAAGACAATTTCCAAAATGGACGACTTTCAGGCCGGACGATTATTGAGGGACCACTGTACTTTGTATATATTCCAAGACAATAGTAAATGGCCAAGGCAGGTGTAAATGTCTACCTGTCAATGTGTTTGTGACAATGTGAGTACAATTTCAGCTCCTAATACTAGTGTCAGAACAAAGATTGGTTATGAAATGACAAGAACTACTATAAACTGTAATTATCAGAACATAAAAATTATATAAAATAATATGAAAAATAGAAAAAAGTATATCACAACACTTTTGCAAGCGCGCACACCATGGTTTTGCCATCAGGTGATCCCCAAGTGCCAACTTTGGGCCTCATATCTCGTAAGTAACTGACTCTAATTTTTTTTTTTAATCCTAATCACACTTAAAAAATGTGCTCCTTTTTTTTTAATTATAAAAAAATATTTTTTTATTTTAAAAATATTCGGGGCACAGGGGTAGTGAACATATATATACGTTTGGGACCTTTTAAGGGTTAAATAATAGAGCTTTGTTCCCTAAATTAATAATAATAATAATAATAATAATATATTATTATTATTATTTATAACAATAGAGCTTCAGTTCCTAAATTAATAGTAATATTATATAAATAATGATAGAGCTTCAGTTCCCAAATTAGAATAATAATAAAGCTAATAATGTATGTAAAATTCAGATTGCTTCTGCTAGTTGGCAACAGCTGTAAGACAGTAAACATGTTTGCATCCCTGTGGGGGCAGTTCTCTTGCGCTTGTTTGCATAGTTTATAGTCATTTGGCCAAATTTCTTTTTTCTAACCATGGTCCTAGTGACTACTGCAGTTTAGCCTCAAAAATACTCCATTTTCTCTTATACAGTAAAATATGGGAAGAATACTAATAAGTGAAATTGGGACACAAATGGTCGACGCTTCCTCCGCTGACACTGTCTCTGCCACCATATTATGCCTATTTTATTCATTCTAGAGTAATATATCATGTTTCTCTGTGCTTAATTATTTTTGTTTATTAGACATATTAGATGAATGGGATAGATAAATAAGCCATACAGTTTGATAATAGCGTCATATTCCAAGTATTTTTTCACGTCTCTCCAGATTCAAAGTAATGAATTAATGGCTTTTCATTAATTTATATGAGGAAAATTATTTGATATACGAGTAAATATGAAGTTTACGAGCTAGCTCCTGAACGGATTAAACTCGAAGGTCAAGTTCCACTGTATATAATTTTCTTTGTACTCTCTTCCAGTTTAGCAATGTACCACCACCTTGAAGGGGGCCATTAGTGTACAACAGTATTCCAGCCTAGAGGAGGGGCCCCCCCCACAAGCGATTTGAAGAGAATCATCAATGGGCCCTAGGTCGACCCTACTTTTGGAAGTTCTCATTACCCATCCTATCATTTTCCTAGCAGATGAGGTAGATAAATTGGTTTGTGGTCTTTGAAGTCGAGATACTCGTGACATTAACACTCCCAGTTCCTTCATATTACATCTGCTTTGTTTGTATGGATAAATTTGTTGTATAACATTACACATTTTTAATTTCTTCAAGTTTCCCCAAAAAAAAAAAATAAAAATCTGAGCAGTTGAAATTTCTCCTTGTTGAAATTCGTAATGTTTTGAGTGGCCCATTCGAAGATTTTGTTGATGTCCTCTTGGAGTCTCGCAATGTCTTCGATGGAGGTCACTGCCATGGTAATCCGGGTGTCATCTGCAAAGGAAGGCACAGAGCTATGGCTTACATCTATGTCTATATCAGAAATGAGGATGAGGAATAGAATGGGAGCGAGTACTGTGCCTTGTGGAGCAGAGCTTTTTACCGTGGCTGCCTGGGACTTTACTCTGTTTACTATTACTCTTTGTGTTCTGTTTGTCAAGAAGTTGTAGATCCATCTACCAACTTCTCCCGTTATTCCTTTACCACGCATTTTGTGTGCTATTACTCCATGGTCACACTTGTCGAAAGCATTTGCAAAGTCTGTGCATACTACATCTGTATTTTGTTTATCCTCTACAGCATCCAGGACCTTGTCATAGTGGTCCAGTAGCTGGGACAGGCAGGAGCGACCTACTCTAAACCCATGTTGCCCTGGGTTGTGTAATTGATGGGTATCTAGGTGGTTGGCTATATTGCTTCTTAGAACCCTCTCAAAGATTTTTATGATATGGGATGTTAGTGCTATCGGTCTTTAGTTCTTTGCAATTGCTTTACTGCCACCTTTGTGGAGTGGGGCTATGTCTGTTGTTTTTAGTGTGTGTGGGATGACCCCTGTGTGTGCGGGATGACACACACACGTGTATGATAAAATAGAAGACATAGTGTATAACAATTTAATTTGTAGTAATAATCTGTATGGTGTGTATGCTTGCAGATCTTCATCTAGACATTCGTAAAGGAGACAATCTTCTGATAATGGGACCAAGTTCGTCTGGAAAATCCAGCATTTTGCGTGTACTACGTGGACTGTGGCCGGCTGCTCGGGGAACAGTTGCTTATGACTTTCCTCCTGGGCCTAAAGTTGTCATCTTTCTGCCCCAAAAACCACTCCTCACTAATGGCTCTCTTCTAGAACAGGTAAGGATACTTAGAAGGATAATGCCCATTAATTTAGATTTCAATTGAATACATAAAGCAGTGTACCATTTTTGTATCTTCTTAACAGATAATCTACCCTCTGAGACAAGACCCAAAGGATCCAGTCAGCAATGATACCTGTGAAAACATACTTAGTCTTCTGGACTCCTTGCACATGAGAGGTCTTGTCAACCGTGCGGGGGGGCTCAGAAATGATCCTGATTGGAATTGGTGAGTTAAAATTTGTGATAAATAGTTGGATTTGGAGAAAAAATAAGTACTTGGCAAATTTTCTTGACAAAAATTAATGAAAATTCTTTGTAGGTAAAAGACAGTATGCACTGATCAAGATAACAACATGTACAATTCCATGGTAATACCAGCTAAAACTAAACCAACAAGAATTTGTGAGACAAAGTGGGGATTTCACAGACAGTACTATTGGTCATTACCCCACCTTCCTAGTAACAAACACATGTAAACTTCTACTTCAAGTTAGTAGTATCTCATTTTGTCTCCATGATGAAATATTAATCAATAAATTCATTTCAGTAGTCAGTGACATTGATTGGCACAGAGAGTTTACTGATGATAGGGACATTGACATATGGGTCAGTATTTTTCTACAAAAAATACAAAACCTCTACAATAAGTACTGTCTTATTAAAACTAATCAGCTCACAGCAAAGAGACTAAGTAACCCATAGCTAGCAAATTGCATCCTCAGGTCTATTGATAAAAAACATAACTCTGAAAAACAGTACAGACTGCAATTAGTAACTAAAGAACGGACAAAAAAACTATACATCAGTACTTACTAAAATAATGAGGAAGTCTGAACAACTGTACTATGATAGCAGGTTCAGTGAAATAAGAAGCGATATGAAAAAGATCTAGAAAAACACTCTCAAATCCTGGGCTCTCAAAAATCAACCAAAACTAGAGATATTGTCCTAACTAAACTTAACAAAACTCACATCCAGCCTGCAGAAACAGCCCATGCACTAAATGATTTCTTTTCAACTACAGTAGGGCCCCACTTATATGGCAGGTTAGGTTCCAGGCTACCGCAGTAAAGCGGAAATCGCCGTAAAGCGGAACACCCTTTTTTTCCACTTATAAATGCATAAGAATACTAGATAACAAGTTTATACTAACATATATTAAGTTAGAAATATAACTAGGCATTAAAAAACAATAAAAAAGTAAAATACACATATAGTACACTCATTACTTACCTTAAAATATTTGTAGTCTTAATCTAGGGTGAGACAAGTAGTATTTATTGTAAGAAATCAAGTGTGGTATGTATGGTAGCCAGCCAGGCTACCATACAGGCCATTCCACCCACACATAATATTCTATGACATTTAAGCATCCCAGAGCAATAAAATGCATATACAGTTCACTCATTACTTACCTTAAAATATTTGTAGTCTTAATGTAGGGTCAGGGGTGAGTAAATGAGATAAAACGAATACTATATGAGAGAGAGAGAGAAATGAGTACATGAGGGAGGACAGGCGCAGATTTATGTAAACAAACCAGGCAAACGCCAGTTTTGTAAACAAACCAGGTGTACACGTCTGGTTTGTGTACAAGTTGTCTCTACGTTGATACGGTAGAATAAATAAAGAGGAACACTCCCATTCTCAGGTAACACCGTTTTTAGAAGAAATGACGCTCTGAGTGAAGGCAATGGAAGTAAGTCACTCTGTATTGTATGAATGCGTGGGATCGTGCTCACTTTCTGATAAACAATAGGACACTGATTGTGGCCGCGTCAGGGCTGCTTGTATGCGTCTGGGACGAACGACTATTTGCGAGTCAAACGACGATTCACAAGTCAGTACAGTGGACCCCCGGCTTATGATATTATTTCATTCCAGAAGTATGTTCAGGTGCCATTACTGAACGAATTTGTTCCCATAAGGAATATTGTGAATTAGATTAGTCTATTTCAGACCCCCAAACATACACGTACAAATGCACTTACATAAATACACTTACATAATTGGTCACATTGGGAGCTGATCGTAAAGTGGGGGTCCACTGTATTTTAATGAAAAAACATTACGATTTTCAAAAATTGCAGCTTCCGATGCTTACATAAAACGAGGGTCCACTGTATTATTATTATTATTATTATTATGATGATGATGATTTTTATTATTATTATTGTTATACGTAATTGAAAAAATGCTAAACCCATAGGATTATACAGTGCCTGTGGGGGGGAGGGGATGGAAGGTATTCAGGCTTAATTTAGGGAACTGGAGCACAGATACAATTCCCTAGATCAAGAGCCCCTCACCAAAGTCAAGGAACCTCCCTTAAGGGGGAACCTCGCAACCTGAATTTTGGCTCGTATCCAGTAGCAAAAAAATTGACAGAGCGACGGCTCGTATCCTGAAAAACTTGCATGGTGGGGCACTCATAAGCAGAGGTTCCACTGTATTGTTGACATATATGCTTCAATGTAAACTCTTGATCTACACATCCCCTACCCATTCTAAAACTTCTTTGTTCATCTGCAGTCCTGCTCTCTGCCCTACCTCCAATTCGTTCAATAATAACCCTACCATACACTTTACTTGGTATACTCAGTAACCTTCTTTCAACAGACCAGCCATTTCTTACTGAGACAGGGTGCCCCCCCCCCCCCCAAAAAAAAAAAAAAGTTTGTTTTTAACTTTAGTAATGTATACAGGATAAGGAGCTACCAGCCCATTGCTCCTGGCATGTTAGTCGCCTCTTATGACACACATGGCTTACGGTGGAAGAATTTTGTTCCACTTCCTCATGGAGGTAAGAGGAAATAAACAAGAACAAGAATTAGTAAGAAATTAGAGGAAAGCCTAGAGGGATGTATACAGGTCGGCCATCACTAATCCAGCATCATTGGGACCTGTAGTGTGCCGGATTAGTGAGTTTGCTGGATTACAGAGTGATTAGATTAGAATGCACTTAACCCTTAAACTGTCCACACGTAGATCTATGTTCACATGTGGGGGGCTCCGAATGTAGATCATTTTATTTTTCATTCCTGAGCCGCCTAGACATGAAAGAATGGGTCTGTGCACTCAGTGTGCACAGCATGAAAAAAATCGGGGACCACTTAGTACCTTGTGGGAACAGCAGTTCAATTGAGTGCCATCCAGAGCAAATAGCCTGGCTAACACCAGTGATTCACTGATGTCATGTCATATTAACACTCACATTTTAAGAGAAATGTAAAAATAGGTTAAATAAATACATGAGTGGGTGTGGGTGGGTATGAGTTAGACCTGACTAGCTTGAGCTACTAGGTCAGATGTTGTGCTCCTTCCTTCAGTGGATGTGACCTGACTTTGTGGGTCATTGGTCTAAGCCAGGGGGTGACATGGACCTGCCTTGCATGGGCCAGTAGGCCTGCTGCAGTGTTCCTTCTTTCTTATGTTGTAATGTATTTGGCTGGCTGGCTGACTTTGGCTGTCTCTGTCTGTATCTGTATATCTATATCTCTGTCTATCTCTGTCTCTCACATGTACTCATAAGTACAGTTATTATACATAATATAAATTACCTAGGATAACCCTAAAATTTCAGGCCAAATGATATACAGTGTAGATCTTCTTCTTTCAACGTACCAGCCGTATCCCACTGAGGTGGGGTGGCCCAAAGGAAAAAACTGAAGTTTCTCCTTTTAAATTTAGTAATATATACAGGAGAAGGGGTTACTAGCCCCTTGCTCCCGGGATTTTAGTCGCCTCTTACGACACGCATGGCTTACAGAGGAAGAATTCTGTTCCACTTCCCCATGGAGATAAGAGGAAATAAACAAGAACAAGAATTAGAAAGAAAATAGAAAGAAAACCCAGAGGGGTGTGTATATATATGCTTGTACATGTATGTTTAGTGTGACCTAAGGGGTAAGTATGAAGTAGCAAGACTTACCTGTAATCTTGCATATTTATGAGACAGACAAAAGACACCAGCAATCCTACCATCATGTAAAACAATTATAGGCTTTCGTTTTACACTCACTTGGCAGGACGGTAGTACCTCCCTGGGCGGTTGCTGTCTACCAACCTACTACCTACACAGTGTAGATATATGACATAAATAAACATGACCACACACAGAAGACAGAAAGACAGATAAGCTGAACTAGACAGACAGATAAGCAGAGCTAGGCAGACAGATAGACAGATAGATGTACAGATAGACAGGTAGACAGGCAGAGAGATAAACTAACAGACATACAGAGACATGTTTGTGTGCAAGAGTAAAAACATACAAAGGCAAGGTTCCCCCCCCCTCCAGCAGCACACATTCATCAAATGTCACTTATCTGACGCTTGTCATAACACCATTCTTCAAGGAGTTTCATATTATACTCCAGGCACATATAGAAGACAGAACGACAGATTAACTGAATTAGACAGACAGATAAGCAGAGCTAGGCAGACAGACATATAGATGTACAGATAGACAGACAGACAATATACAAATAGACAGACACACAGGCAAACAGATAGACTGACAGACAGATATACAAAGACATGTTTGTGTGCAAGAGTAAAAACATTTAAAGGCAACGTTCCCTCCAGCAGCGTACATTCATCAAATGTCACTGGCTGTCACTTATCTGACCCTTGTCATAACACCATGCTTCAAGGAGTTTCATACTCCAGCATGTCTAAAACATTGCTGTAACCTATAAATACTTTGTATATATTTCTAGACAATAGTCAATGACCAAGGCAGGTGAAAATGTTCACCTGTCAGGGTGATTGTTACTATTTGAGTACTATTTCAGTGCATAATATTAGTGTCAGAACAAAGATTGGCTATGAAATCACAAGAACTATTATAAATTGTAATTATTAGAACATTAAAATTATATAAATTAAAATAAAATTGAGAAAAAAGGGTAAATTGGTAACACTTCTGCAAGCTGCGGAACTGGATGTTGCTGTCACGTGAGCATCCAGAGCCAACTTCATGGTCTTAAATCTCGGTAAGTACTGGTCCTAAAATTTTTTTTGGTCTTATACCAAACAGAAAATTACCCTCTTTAATTTAAAAACAATAAACGATTTTTTTATTTTTCAAAATATTCGGAGTGCCACACAGGTGAATGTAGATCTTCATTTGAACAGTTTAACCCCTTGACTGTCGAAACCCCAAATCCTGAGGTGTCTCCTGGTGTCGAAAAATTTTTGAAAAAAAAAAAAAATCTTATGAAATGAGAGAATCTTTTCCCGATGGTAATGACACCATAAGAATGAAATTTGATGGAAAACTTACGGAATTACACTCTTGCGAAGTTAGCGACCTCAGCGATATTTACGAATCGGCGATTTCGCCCAATTTGAGCCCTATTTTCGGCTAATTCCATTATTCCAGTCAACCAAACTCATAGCTATTTCTTTAGAATGCCATTTGTTCTATCGATTGAGTACAAGAAATTGCCCATTTATTGATTCCAACTACCCAATAATGTGGTCAGAAATTGGCAATTTGGCCAATTTCACGCAAAATAAAAAATGTGCCAATTTCAAAATAGGGTCCAGAATGAACAATGCAGACATTCCTGGCTCTAAAATAACATTTTCTTTGTTAATCAGTCACATCTCCAGGCCCCTCTGATATTACTCTTGCTTTCTATTTTGAATTTTTATTCAAACAAAAAATGGAAGATTTACTGTTATGTAGACTACTGCAATATTGTAATAATTGTATAAATAGTGTCAACCCGTTCATGACTGCATATTAGAATGGCTAGTTGAACATTTATTGGATAATGACATCATTTGTTTACTTTTTGAACATTGGCAAAAATCAAATATTTCCCCTACTTTGAGCTCCATTTCAAGGTTCTTTTCATAGTAAAACCAATCAAAATCACCTCTATTTCTATAATACGTTTTCCATTCTGTCAAATGGGACCAAGAAAATTAGAATACAACCATAAATACTACACAAAAATACACCACAAATTCGGCGTTTTAATCCAGAAAAAAGGTCGGAGTTTTTTTTTTTCTCATTATGCACTGCGTGCTGCAGGATTTTTTTATATGGTGCACACTGACCACACAGACCCATTCTCTCACATGTGGGCCTACCAGCTTTCTCCTGCTTGATTTGAAGCCACTAGAATTTATGAGTATATATATACGTCAAACATGGTGGCTCATAAGACGTATATATACGACCGAAACAGTCAAAGGGTTAAGGGTTAATTAACCTATCAAGAGAGACTCTTTCTGCTACATCTTTCTCATTTTCATCACTGCTTTCTCCTCCACTGGCTTGCTGCTGTGGATTTACAACCATCTGCACCATTTCTGAGTCAGTATAATGATGAAATTTGAGCCAGTATAGCGATGAAATTTGAAATTATGCTAGCTGAAATTAGTGCCGGGTTACTGATGGAACCGGATAACTGATTACCGGATTAGTGATGGCCAACCTGTATATATAATTGTACATGCATGTGTAGTGTGACCTAAGTGTAAGTAGAAGTTGCAAGGAGTACATGAAATCTTGCTTGCTTATGAGGCAGAAAAAAAAACACCAGTAATCCTACCATCATGTAAAACAATTACAGGCTTTCATATTACACTCACTTGGCAGGATGGTAGTACCTTCCTGGGCGATTGCTGTCTACCAACCTACAACCTACAACTCAATAAACTTCTTTCTTTCAACACACCGGCCATATCCCACCGAGGTGGGGTGGCCCAAAAGGAAAAACGAAAGTTTCTCCTTTTACATTTAGTAATATATACAGGAGAAGAGGTTACTAACCCCTTGCTCCCGGCATTTTAGTCGCCTCTTACAACACGCATGGCTTACGGAGGAAGAATTCTGTTCCACTTTCCCATGGAGGTAAGAGGAAATAAACAAGAACAAGAACTAGAAAGAAAATAGAAGAAAACTCAAAGGGGTGTGTATATATATGCTTGTACATGTATGTGTAGTGTGACCTAAGTGTAAGTAGAAGTAGCAAGACGTACCTGAAACCTTGCATGTTTATGAGACAGAAAAATGGACACCAGAAATCCTACCATCATGTAAAACAATTACAGGCTTTCATATTACACTCACTTGGCAGGACGGTAGTACCTTCCTGGGCGATTGCTGTCTACCAACCTACTACCTACAACTCAATAAACTTAGTCCCCTGTAATTTTTACATTCTCTTTTGTCCCGCTTCTCTTTATATAAAGGAATTTTACATGCTCTCTGCTAATCCCTAGGTATCTTCCCCTCTTTCATACATTTATTGAACAAAAATACCAACCACTTCAACATATATCCACCCTACTTTTAACACTTCTGTCATGATCCCATCAGTTCCAGCTTCTTTACCCCCTTTCACTCTATGTAATGCCTCACATACCTTCCCCACACTCACGTCATGCTCTTCTTCATTCCTAAAAGATGCTATCTCCCTGGCCAGTGCATGAAATTACTGCCTCCCTCTCTTCATCAAATTTAAAAGTTCCTCAAAATATTCTTGCCATTTTCCCAATACCTCCAACTCCCCATTTACTAATTTCCCTATCCTGTTTTTAATTGACAAATGCATTCATTCCCTATGTTTTCTTAACCTGTACACCATTAAAAGTAGGCCTTAGACAGGGATGTGTAATGTCACCATGGTTGTTTAACATATTTATAGATGAAGTATATGCTAGGGCATTGGGAAATGAGGTGGTATTAAATTATGGGGAATCAAATACAGAATGGGAGTTAAGACAGTTACTCTTTGCTGATGATACTGTGCTTCTGTCAGATTCTAAAGAGAAGTTGCAAAGGTTAGTGGATGAGTTTGGGAGGGTGTGTAAAGAAAGAAAGTTGAAAGTGAACATAGATAAGAATAAGATGATGAGGGTATCAAATGAGTTAGCTAAAGAAAAATTGGATATCACATTTGAGGGAGGGACTATGGAAAAAGTGAATGTGTTCAGATATTTGGGAGTAGATTTGTCAGTAGATGGGTTTTTGAAGGGCGAGGTTAACTGTAGACTTGATGAAAGGAAAAAAGGTGAGTGGTACATTGAGGTATCTGTGGAGACAAGAAACCTTGCCCATGGAGTCATAGAAGGGAATGTATGAGAGTATAGTGGTACCAACACTTTTATATGGGTGTGAAGCATGGTTTGTGAATTCTGCAGCAAGATGAAGTCTGGAGGCAGCGGAGATGTCGTGTCTATTGGCAGTGTGTGATGTAAATATTATGCAGAGAATTCATAGTGTGGAAATTAGGAGGTGTGGAATTACAAAAAGAAAAAAATATTCAGAGGGCTGAAGAGGGGTTATTCAGGTGGTTTGGTCATTTAGAGATGATAGAGCAAAATAGAATGACTTGGAGGGTGCATAAATCTGTAGTGGAGGGGCAGAGGGGTAGTCTTTGTCCTAGGAAAGGATGGAGGGAGGTCAAAGAGGCTTTGTGTGCAAGGGGCCTGGACATGCAGCAGGCATGTATGTGTGAGTGTTAGATAGGAGTAAGTGGAGACGAATGGAACCTGACGAGCTGTTGGAGTGTGAGCAGGGTCATATTTTGTGAAGGGATTCAAGGAAACCGGTTAGCTGGACTTGAGTCCTGGAAGTGGGAAGTACAGTGTCTGCACTTTAAAGAAGAGGTTTGGGATATTGGCTGTTTGGAGTGACATCTAAACTGTCATATCTGGGTGCCTCTGCAAAGAAAGTGATTGTGTGAATAAGGGTGAAAGTGTTTCTTTTTTGCATCACCTTACCTTGCCTTGGTGGGAGATTGCCAATGTGTTAAAAACAAAAATTAAGTTTTTGAAGCCTAAGGCATATGCAACACCTTTAACAAATTTAATGATTAAAACATTTTCAATGAAAATGAGACAGTATTATTTACAAACTCTTAATCCTATGTAGTTTCTAAACTGTATAACAAGTGTTGTTTTATCTGCAGGAATGATGCACTTTCACCTGGAGAAATGCAGCGTGTTTGTTTTTTGCGTCTTCTCTTTCACCGACCTCAGTTTGCCCTTGTAGATGAAGCAACAAGTGCTCTAAGTTTAGATGTTGAGGAGCAGCTGTACAAGGCATGCTTGCAACACAATATTACCATAGTCAGTGTGGGACACAGGCATTCTCTGAAAAGGTACCACAATACCTTGCTAACCCTAGATGGAATAGGTGGCTGGAAGAAGGACACCATTCATCAAGAATGTGATGAAATTAATCCCCACTCTGAGAGAGATATGTCTTCACTCTGAGTGAATGAACCAGTTTGTGAAGACAAAAAAAAAAAATGGACAGCTTGCACCACCAACAATCAGGTATTTACTGAAACTCAAGCAAAAAGCAAGTATCTGTTGTAATTTATTTTCATATCACATTACTATGTATTTATATGCATGTATGTGCTCACATGCACACATACACTCTCATGTACACATACACGCATGCACACATGCATGCATGTGTACATATGAGCATACATGTGTATGTGTGTACATGCATATGTATGTACAAACATATACATGCCTGTATATGTATGTACATGCATACATACATTCATCTGTACATAATATGCACATGTATGTGCACAGGTACATACATTATTTGTGCACACAGTATCTGTAATTTATAAGTTGCAATAAATGACTGTCACTAAATTTGCGTAAAACTGAGCAAGAATCAAACCTGCAGCTTTGTATTTGTGAATCCATTACTCAACCAACAGGCTATGCTAGTTACACTAGGAATATGACAACTTGTCTGTTTTAAGTAAATTCAGCAGACACAACAGTCTGCGATATCAATTAAGTACTTTTACTGTCTCATTCCTTTGCCAACAATAAAAGTAGTGATGAAGCTCTTATCCCTTCAAAGCTAGTGTCACTATGAGAGTGAATCCAGTGCTCAACCACTAGACACTGTTAGTTGCAGTAGGAATGTAACATCCTGTCTTCAGCTTGTTGAAAACTTTAAATCTAGAATCAAAAAGTAACCATAATGGAAGCAGCAAATTGAGATTGGGTGCCTTAGAATCTACGAGGGACATCTCATTTAATGTTGTGTGTGTTTTGAACTCCTGATAAAGTAAAATATTTTAATAGTTTGTGCTGTGAGATGGTGATCTCAGTAATATCAGCAGTGTATAGGGGTGCCTTAGAATCTACGAAGGACATCTCATTTAATGTTGTGTGTATGTTTTGAACCCGCAATACAGTAAAATATTTTAATGGTTTGTGCTGTGAGATGGTGATCTCAGTGATATCAGCAGCATATAGGGCTTCCTTAACCCTTCAACCGTCCAAACGTAGATCTATGTTCATATGCGTAGTGCTGCAAACGTTGAGCTATGTTTTTTACATAAGAAAGCATGTAAAATAAAATGTTCGGAGCACTAGGCACATGAACGTAGATCTATGTTTCGACAGTTTAAGGATTAATTTACATAAGGATCCTGAGTACTGTCTTTCATGGGCATATCAGTTATTGATTACATTAATGCTTTTTGTACTTTTAAACTTTGTACAGCAGAGCCCTGCTTATATGGTGGGTTAGGTTCCAGGCTACTGCCTTAAAGTGAATTGCCCTTTTTTAACTTTTAAATGTATATAAATGTCTGATAACATGTTTACACTTATCATATTATGCAAAAATTGCAATACAAGATGCTACATATATTAACCCTTTGACTGTCGAAAGGCCCAATCCTGAAGTGTCTCCTGGTGTCGCAAAATATTCGAAAAAAAAAAATATTTCTTATGAAAATGATAAGATTATTTTTCTGATTGTTTTAGTCCAAAAAAAAATTTTCCCATCAGTACTTACCCAGATATAGAGGCATGAAGTTTGCAGAAAATGAGCCGCATATGGCAACAGCGGCGACTGCTGCTCACCCAGTAAACTTTGGTTTACTTGTATTTGAAGGTTTGTTGTTTTTTTCACTATTTTATTTTTTCACATAACTTATGTGGCCTGTGAGACCAAAGTAAGGTGCAATGTACATATATACACTCGTTGTATACAACATAATAAGCACACAAACATAATTATCAATATATTGTTTACAAAACTTGTTTACAAAAACAAACAATACAAAAAAAAATTTATTACTATTATTCTATAATATATATACCAATATATAGTCACTGGACATATTCCTAGAAGTTCTGCAGCTTGTGTAACTCTTTGAAACATGGTGTCATACACAATGGTGTTTTACACTCCTCACACATAAAACCAGTGTGTGCATTTTTGTGGAAGTTTTTTTTTTTATGTGCAAAGACAAAACACCTCGTCTGAGCAGTTTTCTTCAAAGTATTAGCAGGCAGTTGTGTTATGTAGTTATCCTAGGTAAATGTTCGTGCGTCATCATTCCTTCCTGCATTCCTTTCCTGCATTCCTTTCCTACCTTCCTTCCTACATTCCTTCGTCTTTCCTTCCTTTGATCTCGTCCTTCCTTCATTCCTGCCTTCCATTCTTCCTTCTGGTTTCTATAATATATATATACACATATATAGTCACTAGATACTTTCTTATAACTGCTATTATCTTCATTCAGCAAGCTTGTCTTGTGTGCGAGTGTGTGGCTTATAATTGTTTTGAGTCAGGAGTCAGCAGCTGTCAAAATGACATATTATCTCATTACTCACTCCCCCTCCCGCCTGTCAAAACAATGGGGTCGGATGCTGCTTCCCCTCCATTCTATCTAATTATCTTTCTCCCTCATTCTATCTCTTTCAATCTGTCTCTCTCTTTCTCTCTGTCTGTCTATCTTTGTCTCACAGGTATACATATATACAAGTATACATAGTGTAAATTATCTAGGATAACCCAAAAAATCCAGACAAAGTGCTATACTCTGCTTGAAGATGTGAGTAAACGTGATGATGACACAGTCTTGTGGCTCTCTCTGAGACAGAGAGCTAGACTGATAGACAGGGAGCTTGGCAGACAGGCAAATAGACACAAATGTTTGTGTACCAGCAAAAACAAAGCAGGGGATGGTCATCTAATCTTTTCTTATCAGCTGCACCCTCCCCCACCCTTGTTTATGCTCATCAAAAGTCAGATCTTATCAGATGTTATCTCCCCTTATCTTCTCACTGTCATGGGGTGGACTGTTTTTCATGCTTCAAGGGAACATATTATTACATATAATTATTATTACGTATTCTTCTTCTTCCTCCTCTTCTTCTTCCTCTTCTTCCTCCTCCTCTTCTTCCTCTTCTTCCTCCTCCTCTTCCTCCTCTTCTTCCTCCTCTTCTTCTTCTTCCTCCTCTTCTTCTTCCTCCTCCTCTTCTTCTTCCTCTTCTTCCTCCTCTTCTTCTTCCTCTTCCTTCCTCCTCTTCTTCTTCTCCTCTTCTTCCTCCTCCTCTTCTTCCTATTCTTCTTCCTGCTCCTCTTCTTCTTCTCCTCTTCTTCCTCCTCCTCCTCCTCCTCTTCTTCCTCCTCCTCTTCTTCTTCTACCTCCTCCTCTTCTTCTTCTACCTCCTCCTCCTCTTCTTCCTCTTCCTCTTCCCTTCTTCTTCTTCTTCTTCTTCTTCTTCTTCCTCTTCTTCTTCTTCTTCTTCTTCTTCTTCTTCTTCTTCTTCTTCTTCTTCTACCTCCTCCTCTTCTTCTTCTCTCCTCCTCCTCTCTTCTTCCCCTTCCTCTTCTTCCTCTTCCCTTCTTTCTTCCTCTTCTTCCCTTCTTAATCCTTCTTCTTCCTCTTCCTCTTCTCTTCCCCTTCTTCTTCTTAATCTTCTCCCTTTCCCCTTCCTCTTCTTCTTCCTCTTCTTCTTAATCTTCTTCTTCTTCCTTCCCTCTTCCTTCTTCCTTCTCCTCTTCTCTTCCTCTTCTTCTTCTTCCTCTTCTTCTTCCTCTTCTTCTTCTTCTCTTCTTCTTCTCTTCTTCTTCCTCTCTTCTTCTTCTTCTTTTTCCTCCTCCTCCTCCCATCTCCTCCCAATCCCCCTCCCATTCCTCCTCCCAATCCTCCTCCTAATCCTCCTCCTAATCCTCCTCCTAATCCTCCTCCTAATCATCCTCCTCCTCCTCCTCCTCCTCCTCCTCCTCCTCCTCCTCCTCCTCTACTCCCTCCTCCCCCTCCTCCTCCTCCTCCTCCTCCTCCTCCTCCTCCATATTTCTTACCGCTAGACATGCTGAAAAAGGAAGACTGAAATGGCATTCCCACAATAAACCACTGGCTCCCCAATTTTTTTTTATATGATGCACACTGACCATGGAGACCCATTCTCTCACATGTGGGCCTACCAGCTTTCTCCTGCTTGATTTGAAGCCACTAGAATTTATGCGTATAGATACGCCAAACACTGTATCTCCTATGACATATATATACGACTGCGACAGTCAAGGGGTTAAGTTAGCAGTAGAACTAGGCATAAAATAACAATAAAAAAAGTAAAATGCACATACATGTGCAGTACTACACTCATTACTTACCCTAAAATATTTGTAATTTTAATGTAGGGTGAGGGGTGATATGTTTAAAAGACAATATTCAAAATAAAGTTGCTAGTAATGGCAAATCAATTGATCAACAAACAAAGAGGGATAGTAGAGGGCAACAAGTGACTAGCTCCCTTAAAGTTTACTATACAAATAGTAGGAGTCTAAGAAATAAGATAGATGAGCTAAGATTACTTGCAAGTGTAGGTAATATAGATATTATTGGTATAACAGAGACCTGGTTCAACCTGAAAGATAGAGAAATGCCTTCTGAATGCAACATACATGGTTATAAACTATTCCACACCGATAGGGTTAAAAGGAAGGGTGGTGGGGTGGCGATGTATGTCAGAGAAAATTTAAATTTTTGTCTTAGACATGATATAAGATTAGAGACATCGAACACAGAATCTGTTTGGCTACAGTTTCTCGAGGGACATGACAAATTAATTTTGGGTGTGATTTATAGGCCCCCAAACCTTGATAGGGAGGGCAGTAAGCTGTTATGGGACGAAATTCATAAGGCATCTAGATATGAAAATGTTGTTATAATGGGAGATTTTAACTTTAGACAAATTGATTGGAACAATATGACAGGAAATCTTTTGTCTAGTGACTTTCTTGATACGGTTCGGGAGTGCTTTATAGAACAGGTTGTGACGGAACCAACTAGAGGAAACAATCTGCTTGACTTGGTACTTGCCAACAAAGATTCACTAATTAATAATCTTGAGGTTAATGATGAGCTTGGGGAAAGTGATCACAAATCACTTAGTTTTAATATATCATGGAATTACCCAGATAACTGCAATCAAATCTCTGTCCCAGATTTTCGCTTGGCCGACTTCATGGGACTGAAAAATTACCTGGGTGGGCT